TTAGTTCCCTTTCCCCCACCCTCTGATGTTTTTCACACGGGAGGTTCCCTTTTTTCCATTTTCCTTCACTCACCTTCTTCAACGTCTTCAAGTGGATGAGGATTCATTGTTTGTGTCCGTCTACGGGGTTTGGAGGAGAGACCAATGAAAAGAGTCAATGAAGCAAATAGGGAGTGGAGCACATCTGAAAAAATAATTCTTCTTGCTTGCTCGCTTATCAACTCGTTACCCCTGACAACAATCCAATCCGTTTACCACGCTTCAAGAGCCAAATCCCTCTTTTTCTATTATATTCCTTTTTGGAGTCCTCCTTCGCCAGAAGAAAAAATTGAATAGTAACAAATATAATCCCACTCGTCAGTACACTCTTTCAAGTTAGTCTTTTTCAGCTGTAATTCAAAAGCAACTTTATTTCTGCAAGAGCAATAATTATATTTAAATATAGAGCACGAGAGAGCTGAAGGTCAGGATCTTTAAGGCCTAAGACTCATTGCATATGAATTGAGGTTTTGATGTGTGTTGATGGGTGCGGAAAGGAAACGATGGCAAATAAAACCCGACGTGGACCTCCGCCGGACAGGCCATTAAATGTGAAAACTAATCACGGGGAAAAGCGGGAGGACGCATACACAAATAACCATCATCATCGAGTCATATGTTAGTCTTATTGAAAGCGGATCAGTGTGTATGTGGCTGTCTCATATTCGACATATGTAGAGCTCATCTTCTCTCTTATCCGTTTTTCAGTTACCACGTCCCAATGAGCCGGCTTACTGACAAATTCACTATTTGTGTAATTTGCATTTTCACCACTTTCGCCTCTTTTCATTTCCCATTTTCGAGCAGCATTCTCTTTGCCCGGAGGCGAAAAAAAGAGGCGTATATCGCGATTCCAATTTCGCGCCTAAAGCCAACACAAAACCTTTTTTTCTCTATTTTTTAGCCTCACCCGTTCAGAAAAACCTCTCCTCTTCCATTTTCCATTTCGCTTCTTTCCACGTATACACATGCACACAGAATCACACCAGCGTACTAAAAATATGTGCTCCATGTTCTTCTTCACTAGTTTTTTTTTCTGTTCGTTTTTGTCTTTTTTGCTGTGATCCAGTTGTTTTCAGTGTGTTACATACATATCATTCATATTTTGTTTCTCTTCCATTCCCCTCTATTCATTCTTCTTTCTTCATTGTCTTCCTTGGTGGCTCGTCGTTGTCGTTGGCTATATTCTTCGCTCGTCACATGCAAAACAAGGTAGAATATACCTAATTGAGTGTATTGAAAAAATATCTGTTCGTAATATGCCTTTTCCCGAAGGTATGATACCTACAGTATTGTATTTAGAGATATTATATTTTTGTTAGCTTCAGAGTTTGTTTGCATGAGAAAAATTCCCAAGAAAAGCAAATACATAGCTGACATTATTTTCGTTTTATTTCTGAAGTTTCAAACTTCCAACGTCTTGGCTTTTTGAATATAAATTCCACTCAAACTCCTGGAATTATATGAATGGTACAGTATCGGTCAATAAGTTATACGAAAACGTATTTGTCAGTTGATTTTCGGTCATTGATTTTCAAGAGTCTGGAGCTCGACTGTCAAGTTTCCGATCAAGTTTTCTAAAAAATTCCAAGTTTTTTAGCAATTCACCGATTTCTAAAAGACATAATTTAATCTGCCAATATTCTAAAATCCAGAAGTTTTCGAAACATTTTGTGGAGGCATTATTTTTTATTCAAGTCTATTTTACACCCTCCGAATTTTTCAAAAATATAGAAAACTTGTGAGCCGAGCTTCAGACTCCTAATATGGTCAGAATGACCGAAAATCACCTGGAAAACGTTTTTGGACTTTTTATTAAACGGCAATCCGGTACAGCACTCCACGCAACAGCAACGTACAGTTACGGCATTCCAGAACGGCATACAGCTGAAAATAAACTGTTTTCATATCAGAATTTTTAACCTTCCAATTTTTTTTTTCAATTGTTACTCTAAACCAAGTAAAAGATATCATTCTAACAAAAATAAAGCAACATGATATTTTTCAAAATTAGATGTTTTCAAACCCTGAACTAATATCACTTTTTCAAACTTTTTCTCAAATTTTCAAACTTCTTCTCATCCGAAAGTTTTCCACTTCTTACCTCAACGTTTTGTTTTTCCGGTGTCGATAAAAATCATGCAACAACGGTTTTTGGTGAAGCAATAATAAAACTGCGCCAAACAGAGCGCCACGTATGCCGTCATATTGCGGTGATACATCAAAAGTGTTCTCCCGATTTCATTTTTGTTTTCTAAAAAGGTTGCGCCCTTTAAATTTACTTCAAAAGACACTGCCGTCCAAGGAAAATAGGATATATTTGGTTAGTTGGATCAAAACATTCTTGACAAGTGAACCATGTTTAGCCTTCATCTCAGAATTTTTTCTAAATTTGCTCATTCATAGTTTCCATTTTCGTTTTTCTTTTTTTCTTCTTTGATGTTGAAGGAACGCTTTGCATTTTTCGAAAATCAAAAATATGTTTCATCTATTATTTGAGTAAGGAAAACCTCAAAAAAGCGATATATTTTGAGAGAAAAATTCATGTTGGACTTGTTTCGAAAACCTCAAAATGGTTACTCAAAACCCCCCCCCCTCCCCCCGATTTGATCATATTGGTTGCGGAACTGTTATAAATCAGTCAAGAGGTATGTAAATCTATGTTTTCACAAGATTTGAGTGCTATTGGGTGATTTTCGAAGGACTACGATTCATACAAGTTTCGGAAGAAATCACTTATTTGGGATTTCAAAACGGATATTGGCTACAGAATCTTGTGAAAAGACTCATTTTATCACTTCCCTTCGTTTAAAACTCCTTTTAGCCCATTTAAAATTTTTTCGAAAAATTGAAAATTTCGCGGGTACCCATGGCAAAATTTTTTCAAAAATGTTTTTTTGAAAAATGAAACTTTGTCAGATTGTAGAGAAACTTCAAAAATTACGACTGACATACAAAAAATGCCAAAAAACTCCCATTAACCCTTTCAAAAACTCACTCCAAAGTGAGAAATTAGTACTGAAATCACTTAAACCATAACTCGACTTCTAGAAATTTGTGCAAAAAACTAAATACACCACAAGAAAGCCCATATTCAAAACTATAAATGAGCAAACTTAGAAAAAATTCTGAGATGAAGGCTAAACATGGATCCCTTGTGAGATCAAATTCAAAATTTTTCCTAGAAGCTTTTCTCTTTGAAAAACACGAGATTCATGTATCTGCATCGCATCATCATTACTCAAATCCTTGCCTTCGTTTTTTTGGTCCCTCGTATTCCTATCCTTTTTTATTTCTTGTCTTTTTTTAGTAGTCGTATATATCTTTCACCTGGAGCTCCCGTCTGCATTTAGATGTACATATATAGCATGTCAAGAAGATATACATCGTAAATTTTGCATCCTCTTTCTTCGTCGTCGTTGGATACATCGTCTTATGTCTTCGTCATGCTGAGACTCATCCCTTTTCGATCCGAGACAAACACGCATCCATGGTAACTGCCAATCCGCCGAATGAGACATCTGTCAAAGCGAACCCTTCACATTGAAAAAGAGCATTATTTTTTGGTCCAAATCGTTTTTTTCATTCTAACTTCTCTTTCTGCAATGCTCTCGGTTTTTTCTTCCTTCTACTCCCGCCCTTTTATTTTTCAATGCTCGCCGCTACCCCCTATACGAATAGGCTCTCACACCAAGGCTCCTACGCCCATCTTTTCCTCTTTTTCTTCTTCTTTTTGCCCCATTTTTCTCCGCTCTTGCTCTTGATGAAAAACATTTTCAATTCCATCTCCCCACCCCGCCTTCTTCTATTTCCTCTCCCATCTAGAGAAACAAGACACATCGTTATAATTGGTATTCCTCCATTTTCCATTTCTCCCCAACATCACAATAATATTGGTGTGAAGAAAACTGATGTGAGCTGGTGAATAGGGAAAATGAGTTTTGGTTGCATTTTGAAAAGTTCAGTTTCCCAGCACCACATCACATTTTTTTGCTCCAAAAGTTCATGTAACATGTGTTTCAAATATTTCCTGTTCCCTATCAAACTTCGTCTTTAATTCTCACTCCCATCAATTCTACAGGTATTTTCTCATTCTTCACCTTTCCTTATAATGAGCGGAAAAAAAAACAAAACGCGTCAAACGAAAAAGAAAAAAGAAGAAAACTTGTCCACGTCATTTCTCTGTTCCGATTCATCTTAGTCCCATTCGCCCAAAAAAAACTGCCTCTATCCCTCCTCGTTATTTCTATCCCCTCCATTTTTTTGCGCACACATACGTCATGAGAAAGTGTGCTCCACTGCTACTGAATATATTTATACGATCCCCTATGTTTACTGGTTACTCTATTGATTTTCTCTCATCTCTTTTTGTTCTCATCATTTTTCGCCGCTGTTCATCGTTTCTCACTAGTGAACTTTCAAAATTCTTTCCAGTGATAATGGGCCGAGCGTTGTTAAAATGAGTAGCGATCCAGACATAACAGTTTCTTCTGAAAAACCGGTTGAAGGTAAATCCACGTTGTCACGTGTCGGCTTTCCTTTGCTTTTGTGTTCCTTTTTTGCATTCGTTTGTTTTTTCGCCCGAAATCTCGATCCACCATTTTCGTTCGATTGAACAACCAAGACATCAGGAGGCTACTGTCGGTGTATATATGAAAAAAGAAAAGGGAGAGTGTCGAATGAAGAATGTATGCAACGATGATGATGATGATCATGAGAACATTCGTTGGCAAATCGAACTGTCAATTCGCTGGCAAACCGAACCAACATATCATTTCCATTGTGTTCGTGTGGTGCTTTTTATTTTAGTTTTCAGTTCCAGAAGAGAGAAGAGCCTCGTTTTTATTTGTGTTCACATTTTTGTGTTCACACATTTGTAAACCTCTGGAGCTTCTAGTGAAAGAATCTCGGTTTCATAACAATTGAGCTCTAGGGGTCTCAGGAAACTGATAGGAATCATGATGAGTTGTTTGCTGAGTCTTAACTGCCAGCATGTTTCAGGTGTTCCTGAAGCCGGCTATACTGTCAATCTGATGAGCATTAAGGTTGAGCCGATGGAAACCTCTTCGGAAGATGGAAAATGTGAGTTTTTCAAATTTTGATTAAAACTGAAGATAAAAAGTTGCAGATGGAAATTCAAGACACTCGCCATCATCTCAATTTAGCAGTGTGAAGGTCGAAGAAGCCAATTCACCGCGTATACGATCGGAATCTTTTTGTAAGTTGTGGAATTTTATATTTTTATCACTATGAGACATGTTTTCCTCATCAATAACTTGTTCATTGTTTCAGCATCAACTGAAGAAGGCAGACGAAGCTCAATCAATGCTCAATTGATACAAAACAATGCAGTTTGTGTTTGGAATGATCGAACGGGACAATCAGTGGTTGTGTCGAGCAATCAATCAACAAAAGATGCATTGGCTTCGCTTTGCTTAAGAGACTTGGAAGCGAAACGGATGGATGATCTTGGAAAAATAACTTTTAAGAAGGAGGAAGACCGGACAGATGCAGAGAAACAGTTGTGGAAAATGTATATGACGGAAATGGGACTGAATCAGAAGGAAAAAGACTCTCAGCAGTTCCATGAAGGGAGGATTCAGCAACTGTATCAGGATAATCTCTCCAAAAAGCAAATAGACCCTCTTCAGACTGCAATTAGGGAACAATCTGCAACTGTTGAGAGTTCAAACAGGGCTCGAGCCAATAGAAACAGTTCACGGAAACGTAAAAATCAGAAACCCCCAGCTAGAACAAATGAAAACTCAGTCTCCGGATCATCAACCCCAGCACCTTACGTATACCGACCAAGAGCGACAACATTCTCTCCAATGATGATCAGAACCGAACCTAACAAACCAAAACTGCCCGTTATGAGACCGTATGTCAGAAGAAACACTTTTGGGATGTCTCGATTTTTGGAAACAAGCTCTTCGGAACAATCTTCATCACCCAGCCCGGTCCCTACAACTTCCAACAGCCATTTGGCAAACAATTACGTTTTTACTTCTCACATAGGTCAATCTAAACACGTTCTTATGATGCAAGAGGGTGCTAATCCGTCGGAGTCATCTACCAATAACAACGATACACCTGTCACTCTCCCTGCCATCGAAGACCTTTCCACACTACAAACGACTACAGCAGGTGCCTCCCCTCGTCTCGATGGTCCGCAGAAAAATGACCCCGACCAGATGGCAGTCGTCGTCGTCGAAGGACCTGTACAACAGACGGCACCCCCAATGCGTCACCAATCTCCGCCATCGTCACCTGTTCAAAGGAGTAAGAGTACTCCGCCGAAACTTGACGAAGATCTAATCGCATTTCTTCGAGTGCCTTTGGCGCTTGCCAAAAAACAAGAGGAGGAAGCGTTGAGAAAAAAATTGACTGATCCGCCAGCTAAGTCGAAGCCCAAACGAAAACCGCGTTTAAGGCCGAACCGCACTTCTAAGATTGTCCCCAATTACTTTTTCACCGGGAAAACTCCACCAACCGGTCCGTCAGCGATAGTAGCAGGACCATCAGCTCAGCGAGAAGAGAAGCCAATAGTCAAAAACAATCGGTCCATGTCCACACCTTCTAATTTTCTCGATGAAGCAGAATCCCATGAGAAGAAGCCATTGAATTTGGTTCTCAAATCCAATGTGGATCCCTATTTGTGTTAGTTCATCGGTAGAAATTGAAATATTTTCATAATTTTGAAACGTTTAGTGTGGAATGGTGTATTTCTCTGTTTTTTTTCCGTGTGATCAATTGCTTTTTTTCCACGCGAGAAGTAGCTTTTGTTCTGATTAATTTCGCATGATGGTTGCTTTTTGTCTCGTTTATATATTTTTTTCTTTAAAAAAACTTACCCGATTTAATTACAAAAATGGGTATTCTCAGAACCCAATTCCTCTTTTTAACCCCGTCGCATATATATTAATAATACTCTACCAGCCTTCTTCCCTTTAGTATAAGCCCCCAATTAGTCCACGGAGGGTTATGTATCAATTTTCCGCGTCGCCTGCATTTATGTAAATCTGCTCTGTATATGATAAATCGTAGTGCGATGCGGTCGCGTTGCGTCTCCCCGCGCGATTTGAAGAGGGGACCATAGAGAGGGGGCAACCCCGTCCTCCCCCCCACAACGCCCCGCCTCCTTTTCCCCCGCGTGCGTTGCGTTCTGCGTCGCGGTCGGCCTCCTTCCCCCCTCGCGACGACTCGAGGGTGCCTGTTCAAATTAGACGCGTTCACTTTCTCCGAACGCTCTCTCTTTCATGATTTCTCTTTTTCGCTTTTTTGTTCCAATTTTTCGTTGAATTACGGTTCTTTTTTCTCTTCCCGTCAAAACGACGTCTTGAGATATATGAGATCCAATATTATTTTGCCGTGTTCGGTTGGCAATAAAACCGTTCGTTGGCACCTATCGATTTTTGGTGTCGCCGGTTTGCCTCGCGCGCGCTCGTTGGCAGATTTGAATAATAGTTGTATTAACCGTTGCTCTAGACATTTCAACTGCGATAAGAGTCGATTAGTATAGAAGCCTTGCATGACGCTTTCCGTTCATTTTTTTTCCGGGATTCCTTAGCCTATGACCGTTCAATATCTTCTATTTTCAGTAGACAAACTTCATACGGACTCATATCCGGTGAAGGGGACAGAATCAAATCGGAGTATCATCCGACTTGATATGCCCCTTGGACAAGCAATCCAGGAAAAACCGGCAGGAGCCATTGTTGAACAACTACAGGTTCAGAAATGTGAGTTTCAGACGCCATACGACCATCAAACGATTACCAAATTCCAGCTTTATACGAGGGAATGGACATGACAAATGGAAACGCATCGGGAGGAGGACCCAACGAGCATGCTGTTGTTGGACCTACAGATGGACACGTCTTCCACCACAACGGACATAATCACACAGACGGGCAGAGTCCCATAACAGGTACGAAGGGGGGCTTGGTAGCAACGAGCGGAGCATTGCCAGATCGATATGCGCATGGTGGCCTGCGTGTTGTATAGCTCTCCAAAATAGTATAATCCAGGGTAGCGAGTAGAGTAGGCAGGTGGATAGAAAATGGCTTTGTAGTCGTCGAGCAGGAGATTGAAAAGGAGTTGACTAGCTCCATTCGAAGTCTGATATAATCAAGATTAGATTTGTTCTCGCGGCGGCGGAAAACATTCAGTTTCCGAGAATTTGTTGTTCGAGAGTTCGGGAGAACTCGCAAATGAATTCTCGGAAACCATGAATTCATAGATTGAATGCTAGTGAGTGTATAGATTGGCTCCTGTGTTTTACACTTTCTACTGAGTATTGGATACTGTATCTGCGACTCTAAAGTAAATCCCCGGCGTCTCGAGGAAATCTTCATTTTCTAGATGAATTAAACCGGAAGCTCAAATAGAAGATTCTGATTTTCTTGAAAGGGTTCTGAACTCATAAAACGAACCGCCTTCGGTTTATTTATAGAATGAGTACTAAATTTCAAAAAAACGTGAGTATTCAGAGCTTCTCCAGTGAGTTCTAATTTCTCAAAGTGAGTTCTTACTTTTTCGTGTGGATTCAGAGGAAAAGCGGGACATGATGTACTTTCTTTAATGAGCACTGAGTTCTTATCCCAAATTCTGGATTTTTAATCGAAGCTCGGAGTCTGAAGGTTTGCCTTGAGTTCCCATCTAGGATTAAAGCTCAAGAGGGATTCAAGATGAGTCTCGGTGACCAAGTTTCCGTATGTAGTTTCAGGGTAAAACTCAGATCGGACAGGTTAGATAAAAATTTGAATCGGGGATTGAGATACTGAGTGACGCCCAGAGTTCATGATTGAAGTTAAATTAATGATGACCTTAGGAAATCCCCATAACTGCACAGACATCCCGGATCACCACAATTTCAATTCACCCTTCTTCGAGCAACACTTGCCCATTTCAGATCAGTTGCCAGCGCCACCAGCGCCATTGGTGCCATTATCACAGCCGATAGAGCCAACACTAGAAGTCGCTCTTGCATCAGCTGCTCCACTCGAACCACCGAAGAAAACAGCACCAAAGCGCAAGAGGCCAACGAAAGCGGAGCTTAGCGCTGCAGAAGGGTTGTCGACTGAAGAAAAAAGTAAGTGGTTCAATTTAGGAATAGTCGGACATTTATGACTATACATGACATAATCGGTCGTGCATGCCTAGTTTTATGACTTTTTTCCTCTTTTATAAGGCATCATTATCCATCCAAATCGGTGCCATTCCTTTTCATTTTACTGGAGCCCGAGCTCATTTTCGGAATCTTTTCAATCTCAACAAATTAGGTCGTTTTGCAGCAAAGAGAAAGAAGGCAGTGCCGAAAAAGAAGCAAGCGGTTGTGCCACCAGAAGAGCAAGCGATGCAGATGGAACCAGTGTACCCTGACATGGTCATGTATCAGCCATTGCCACCGGTCGCTCCTGCTAAGTACCAGCCATTACCTTCCGTCACTAATCTTCTGCCTCCACTTACAAATCCTCACAGTCATCCGGCTCAACAACATCAACAACTGCCTCAGCAGCAGAATGGTGGTGGACCGATTCATAACAATGCTATGAATGGCTATAGATATTCAGACGGTACGTTGTAAATGAAGGCACATGACAAAGATATTGTAGTTGTTGACTATTATATGGTGCCTGTCGAGGGTCGGTACAAATTGATAGGTGCTCGTTTATGATAATGTGCGCTGTTTGCTCAGATATGATAGTAAAAGAAATAAAAATCACGAGCATAGAGTTGCGGAAAATTTTGTTGAAAATGATTGATGGTGAAAATCAGAATAACAACGTTTCTATAGAAATTTGAACCATTTTCGAATAGTTTAATCTAACGGGTAATAGGAGAATCTAACAGAGACCGCACTCAAACTGACTATCTATACAAACTGACGTTCTTATCAGTTAAGTCTTAAAGGTCGGTCTTAGGCAACTAGCCGCCTTTAACTAGTCTAAATATGATAGGAATCCAAAATAAGTTTCTACAGTATGATCTAACTTACAAGGTCACCTAAAACTTGCTAGAATTTAGAAATACAGTTAAGAAAAGCAATCTTATAGATGTTAAGAACGCGCTCTTTCTTCTCGAGTTCAGTTTTGTCTTCAAAACACCGATCGCATTTCTAAAATCACAATTTCTTTCAGTGAACGGTGGACCATTGTCTAATTCGTCATCCTCAATGTATTCCTACGAATTTCCGAATGCTGGACAACAACATGCAAACGGCGGATATCAACAAAATGGAATGAACCATTTCGAATATGCTCAGAACGGTGTTGGAAGCTCGGGATATTTGCAAAATGGATACCAACAGAGCATGTCTACTGGTTATCGGCACAGTGGCGATTCGGAGTATGGACCAGCTTCTATCCGTGTCAGTCAAATGAGCCAACACAACCATAACAATCAGTATGGGAACAATGAGTATCAGCAAGCTGCCGTATACACTGGTGGCTCTTCTTCGTCGTCGGGATACGACACGTCGCCAAACAACCCATTCCCACCAACTGACTTCCCTCCACTCTCGGTCGAAAGTCATATTTCGTGTACATCTCGTGATTCTCACGCGCCAAACTCACAGTATTCTAGTATGCCACAAACTCCGATCTGTAAGTTTCAAGAATTATCGAAATCATGATTTGTTTGTCAATTCAGCTCAACACTCCAATGGATCACAGTATAATGCAATGTCGGTTTCAAATAATAGTAGCCAGTTCTCGCAAAGCAACGGTCATAGTCAACAGAATGCATTCCACGAGCATCCTCAGACGCCTCAATCGGTGCCGCAACAGGATCAGAATCAGTTCACTCCATTCGTCGCTCAAGGAATTAGAAATAGTGTATCAAATGAATCGGAACCTCGGTCCCAATCTCAGATATCAGCTGCCACTACTCCTAGTGATTGTATGATAATCAGCAGTGGTAAAGGATCTCCAGCTGTTCCAGAGGGAGCCATACAACCGAATACACCAGTTGGCAAGTCTCCACTCGTTCAACGTCCGGGCGAGACCGTCATCAAATCATATAGAGTTGTTCAAACTCCGTCCTCTGAAACTGCTCAATCTTATGCCAGTGTACAGTACATCCAAGCCGATGGGAATCAATCAGTTACCAACAAACGAATGATGTCAGAAGCTGCCAACCCTCAAATTGTTGGAGAAAACACGGCTAAAAGCATTTCTGTCAGAAATCGTTGGAATGGAAACAGAAGAATGACAGAGGAAACTGTTCCTGCCGCTGTGCCCGCACAAAACATCACTTCCGATCCGATGGTACCGGCAAACCAAAAATTTGGAGAGAGCCTGCAGAAATCCGACAATCAGTCACTTTATTCAGTGCATTATCTTCCTCATGAGACGTCGGAGAAATATAATTCTAGGAAATCCCAGTCCGATCTCAGTTTTCCTAATCTTCTTGCCATTCTTAGCAAAACTAATGAGGAAGGTTCAAGTCAACAGTCGCCAGTGAAGATGCAGCCACCACCGCGTCCACCACCACCAAAGAGAAGACGCATCACAACAAACGACATGAATCCACCAGTTCCACCAGGTTTGTTAATTAAAATTTCCTGAAGAAAATCGATCAATTAATTTTTTTCCATTTTCAGCAAAGCCAACACAAAGTCAAAGACAGCCGGAAACTGTTGGAGAATTGGTGCAGATGAAACTGGCGGAGGAAAGGGCGCGAAATGAAGATGGCGGTCAACTGTATCCACACAATAGTGACCAGGCTTTCCCGGTATCCATTAATACTGTCGTAGCTGCCGGTAACGCTATTCCACTCAAAAACGATGGAAATATATCGCTCCAACAACAGCATGAGACAAGCAGTTGGCATATCGACAATGTTTCACATGTTAGAAACCAGCTCAATATAGCAACACGCAAGCATGAGGAACACCTGTCGGCACTTATTGGAGATACTAAGAAAAAGCAAAAAGCCACCCGGCAAAAAAATCCAACTAAGGAACAAAGGGAGAAAGCTGCTCAAATTGCAAGACAACGTGACGAAATTAATATGGCCAAGTTGCAAAGGGAAAATGCGCTGAAGCAACAACAGATGCAGAGTTACCAGCAGAATCAAATGCAGCAACAACAGCAAAGACAGCAGTACACGGTGACTGAAGCATACACAGTGCAAAGCTCAAGGATTGTCGGAGGTCCTCAACATGCGGCACCAACGCAAACGGTACAGCAGCTCAAAATGCAAATTGACATGGAACTGTCTTTGCAGAATTATCAGCAAGAGCAAGAGCGTGGCACGTTGATGCAGCACCAAAATAGTCAGCAGTTGGTGAATGGGAAAATATTGATGCAGCCGCAGCAGTTCCAAGGTCAACAGAACCGGAGCCAAAAGAAATCCGTTAACCAACGGGGATCAAAGCAACAGCAGCAGTTGGAACAGTATCACATGGGACCATCAGCAAGTGATCAGAGACGTATGGAAATGCAGCAGCCTTCAAATCAGCAGCCGCACCAGCCGATGCATCCTTCTCAGCAGTATCAGCAAGAGATGAATGCACAACATCAGGTACCGATGCAAAGAAACCATGCCGATCATCAAGAACCGCGCCAGATGCAACAGCATGCTCAGCAGCCAACGAACGACCAAATCTCGGTGCAGGTTCCACAGCGTCCAACTCAACTTCCAATGGAATCTCCTATGCAGTATGATTCTCCGATGAAGCATCAGGATCAGATTCAACAGTCGATGAGTCGGCCAGGATCAGGGCAAATGTCTCGCCAAGGATCTGTTTACATGCAGCAACATCACGAGTCTCAGGTGCCACGTCAAAGTTCGATGAACCACAACCAGCATCAACTGGAGCAATCTGGACAGACTCCCATGAATCAACAAGAATCCGGTCAGGTACAGCGCCACCAAGCTCAGTCTCAGCAGCCTACGAATCAACAAATCTCTGTTCAATTGCCTTCGCATCAGAATCAGTATCCGATGGAATCTCCAGTGCAGAGCCATTCTCCAGTGGGACAGCAGATGAGTCAGCCAAGATCCGTTCAAATGCGACAGCAGCAAGAAACACCGGCGGCGCATCAGCAACAGCAGAATCACAGAGGATCTGTCCAATTGCAGCGAAATGAGTCTTGGTCTTCACGACCAGGGTCCGTGCAAATGCAACACAACTCTGGATCTCCGATATCTCGCCAAGGATCTGTTCAGATGCAGCAGCGAGAAACTCAGCAGCCAGTGAACCAACAAATGACTGTGCAGCTGCCACCTCATCAGAGTCCACATCGGATGGATTCTCCAGTGCAGTATCATTCGCCAATGAGCAATCGCCAGCCGACTCCACTGACTGTGAATCAACACGGATCCGGAGAAACGCAGCAGCATCAAACGCCGGCAAACCAGCAGCAACATTTGCAGAATCACCAACAGATGAATCGGCAGGGATCCATGCATCAGTCGCCAATGGCTCAGCAGCAACCAGGGCAACAATATCAGGTTCAAAATCGCCGCGGATCCATGCCTCAGTCTCCAATGCCACAACAACCCGCCCAACCAATGATGCTATCCCCAAAGCTTCACAATCCAATGCAAACGCAGTCTTCGCAACAGAGTGGATCATCAAACCAGCAGCACCATCAAATGCAGCAGCACTCGGCTCAACAGCATCAGACGAGTAATCAGCAAGGATTCTCATCAGAGAGTCAGCAAGCCACTCAGCAACAGCCGCAGCATAAGCCAAAACCTCTAAGGAGCAGAAAGCAACCGACGGGACAACGTCCGCCAATGTATCAGTTATCTGCCTATCAACCATACACGACTCATCAACCTAACCAGCAGCAGCAACAGGTGCAGATGCAGCCACAGGCTCAGATGCAGCCACAGGCACAGATGCAGCCACAGGCACAGATGTCGCAGCCGTCCCAGATGCAACAACAGGTACAGATGCAGTCGCAGATGCAGATGCAGCAGCAGGCACAGACGCAACTCCAGAAGCCAGCTCCGAAGTCAAGATCCAAGAAAAATAAGGATTCTGGCCAACATACAATGCCTCTCCCGCTCCAAATGAATGCTCATGTTCAATACGTAGATACTCAGTTAAGTCGTGTGGAGTACCGCCATCCGTCACCACCAGCCGGCCAAGGAAATTCTGCAAGCATGAGAAATCCACAGTTGGAAGGGATGGATCCAGCGCAGAGAGAACTATTCATGGGAACCAAAGCTTTCGTGGAAAGAGCCAATGATGTTACAGCTGCGCAGATGTCTCAGCCTCCAGTGGCAGCTCCACAAGCAGTTCCGCAGGCAGTTCCACCTCCCAAAAAGAAACGAGCTCCACCAAAGAAGAAGAATGGACCTAACAACGAGCAAACTCTACAGTACTCCCCATCGGGAAATCAACAGCAAATCTATCAGCAAGGCCTGAGCACAGTCACCACCGCACCGCTCCCGCGCAACCAGTCAACATCAGAACTTGAGTATTCAAAGCTTTGTGACTTGCTCCAAAAACATGCTCCCCGTGCTGAAATGGAAATGCAGTACCAACAACAAATGCAGCCAAATGATTACCATCCACAGATGAAAATGCAGAACCAGCAGCCACTTCGTGATCCTCAAGCTCAAATGCAGATGTCGCAGCAGCCGAATGATTCCCGAAGTGGAATGCAAATTCAGGATCAACAGCAGATGTCAATGAGGCAGATCAACCAGGAGCAGCAGTTTTTTCAGTCACAAAACCAGCAACAACCTGAGCAGGGATTCAACGGTGTCGTTCGGGTCGCTCCAACCAACGGAGCATCAGTATTGAATCAACCAGCAGATGTGTCTTCTCCAACTCAACCAACTGCCAAATCATCAAAATCTGCCAAAAAGAAGAGTCATCGAGCAACGAAACCGCCACAATTGGACGAAAATGGTGAACCCGTTGTTTCTAATACGGTCCGTTGGAAGCACATTCGGGAGACTGTAGCTGAAGTCGCTGCATGGCCTCGGTTGACTGTAGAAGAGATTTTTGATGAAGAAGAAGATCAACCAGTCACCGAACAGGACTATTTTGAGTTTCTACTTGAAATGGAGCTCGAAATGAACATGCATCCCTGCCCTGCCGAACTTAATGTGGATGATATAATTGCGGATCCATCGCGTAAGTCGTTACGAAACTATTAATTGAATGCAATCTTCATTATTTTCAGTGGAATCTGCACTTCATGGACGCCTTCGCAAACGTTTGCACTCCGTGAGAATCGGAAAAACGGATCAAACGAAACCAATCAAACGTGTAAAGAAAACTGATGAGCAGAAAAAAGCGAACGCTCTGAAGAAACAGGCAGCTGCCAAAAAGCCGGCAGCACCCAGGAAACCTGCTGCACCCAAGAAAACCGAACCGATCAATCAATCGGCAGCGACGAAAAGTTCGGAAGCAAAGGATAATGCAGATAAAGCCGCCGTATTGGTTCACACAATCATGACCGACTTTAAATCCAAAGAAAACGATCTCTTGATTAATCCAATCTCAATTACTACCGGAAATCTTTTGATGATCTCATCGACAACCAGTTCTTCTCAGTTGATGACACCTGCCACTCCCTCATCTCAGGAAAGCTTATTGGCTCAAACACCGGCAACCACTCCAATGAATTCCGAAAACCAGGAACCAGCCTTCCATTCACTTGCCTCCATTACTCATACAGTGTCAGAATCCAAACAATCATCATCAATTTCCCCACAGGACTTTGAGGAAATTGCAGAGGACCCGTTCCAATATATGATGTCTGAGAACGATCCATACCTTCCAATCGTTGAACGTCCAATGAAAGAAGAACCTATTTTGGGTTATTCAGACGAGCCTGATAATGGTAAACAATCATTTTCTTATAAAACAATTCCTAAAACTTTCAATTTTCAGAAACAGTCCAAGAACAACTTGTAATTTCTGTTGAAGGTGAAGCTCAATACGTCCCAGTGGTCACGATTCACGATGATGTGAATCCGAAACCATCGACGGATGTGTTAATTCAGCCCCCAAGTCACGGACTCATGGACATGGGATTCGAAAACAACTACTTGTTCAGCAGTCAGTACGGAATGATTGATTATGATAACATTCGATTCTAATTTTTTAATATATTTGTAGTTTGTAACCGTGATTGTGTTTTGTGTTGCTCACTAATTAGCTAAGTTTTATCAATAAATAGACATATAATCAAATTCCAGCGGTTCATTCGCCGTTCTCTCGTGATGATCCGTTGTTGTCTTCTGTGATAGAAGATGATGGGTTCTTGCTCGAACGCCCTTCGTCTGCTCAATTAATGAACGATAATCGTTTGTCACTCGCTGTGCCGTTTGAAGATGCATTTGATGATCTGTTTGAGACGCCTGAGAAGCAAAGCGGCAATTCTTCTGATAGAAGTGCGTCGCCGGATCTTTTTGGTGGTGACTCCACTTCTGATTTCGGTGCATCTGCATCAACTTCGTTCTCCGTAAGTTACGCGTGATTGTGATTAGAACTAGATAATTCCTTCGTCATACGCACGGGTGCAAATCTTTTTTCTAGAATTTTCGAAAACCAGTTGAAATGAAACATCGCTCTCTAAAAGCAAGAGGTGGCAGGTGCATGATATTCTTCAAATAGTTTAGTTTTGTGCCTTAGATTCAAAAGCTAGGTACCGTATTTTCTCGAATAGATGTCCATGGACTTTAATTTCTCAACGACCTTCTCAGGATGGGTTTTGTTAGAGGTGGGCTTTAATTATAATAGAAAAAGGGTGACCGAATTCATCTTGGAAACCAGATAATGAGAGCTTGAAAAGTTCTTGAACTGAATACTTATCGGCGTTTTCTAGTGATAGTGATAACCATTATATTCAAATAAAACCTACCAATCGAAAACCTATCATTTTTAAACTTCTTGGCATGACCAGATGTGCTTTTTGAGAATTCTAGAGTTTCTAGTTTTTTATTCTGAGCGCTTCATCAAAAATAACTGTTCTGATTTTTTAAATTTAATTTCAAAAATTAGATGAAAAGTCGGAGGGAAGAAAATGTTACTTGGCTTAAGAAAGTTCTGAATTCTGCCTGGCAAGTCAGATAATTACAAAAAAATTTTCGATTTTTCAGTGGGAGTCTGCGGAATGGGTTCCAACCATCTAATAAACAGATGTCATCGACATCCATCAAGCTCTCTTCTATCGCCCGCACTACCCTGAAATGCTGCAATTTGCTCAAAACAAAGATTATTCTGCTTTGATGATTGTTCCAACTATCTATTCAATTGAAATATCAGAATCTTAACTGAATTTGCAATTTCTTTTATGATATTTAATCACCCATTTAATCACTTTTGTTTTATACTTAATCAGTGCTACGTGTAGAAGACGTATTAAGCAGATAGTCGAATCTAGTGTTTTTAATTGTTTCTCGGTCTTCTCTATTCATTTGTCCCATTTCGATCTTCAATTGTTCCAAACAAGACGGTTTCAAGAAAAACCAAAAAAATTCCCGTTTTACCACGTTTCATTCGACCTATCCATACGTATATATCAATTCGTGTCAAACTGAGTTCTTTGAACGCCATTTCTCAATCTTGCTTCAAGTTTTAAAATCACCATCGCCTCGCAATTTTTTCTTATAACGCTGCCAAATTTTTTCATCTCCAACTGACAGTCAGCCTTTTCTGATCATGTGCTCTCTTTAATAAAATGTTGACTTTTTCTTCTTAGCATGGATTCTCTCAATCAGAGAAAGTATATCTTTCTGTGTCTAGACTTTCATTTTTCAGAACTTTAGACAAAAAATATATACGGTTTATTCACATCGACGCGATTCAAATAAAAATGGGGGTACGAAACATTTAATTATCTGAGGGAGAAAAAATTTATCGACAAAAATTCCAATTAGGCTTCGAAGACAATATCCGCTGTGTCCTTCTCGTTGCCCCACTTGACTGCTGGAATTGCGAGGATAACCTTAGCGCGGGAACTGTCAAGCTTTCTCGAGAGCTTAATGACCTTTTGTAGGGTGTAGTATCGCATTCCTTCCACTGAAATTCAAAAATATTCACACAATGTCAATGTATAGACGAACTAACCAACAATCAATCCGAATGTCATTATCACAATCAACAACCCGCTGATCAGCTTGGTCAAGAGAAGGTCGTCATAGATTCCATGAACACACAAGTAGTAATAACTGTCGCATTGCGGACCTTTGAGCATTGTGATTGACGAGAAGAAGACTGGGAGCGATGCGAGAGAGTAGGATTTGAGGAAGAGTTGGAAGATCTCAAATAAAGAAAGTTGTTATTGTTTTTGAAAACTAAATAGATACCGAAAAGCGACATTGATAAACTTGGTATTTCCCCTCCATTATCCATACGTTAGTTGCAAGACTTGCCAGTGACACAACTGTGGAGAATTTGATTTGGATCTCCATATTTGGATGGCTTTGCGGGACATGGTATGCAAGCATCACGAAGAAAACAAGCGCTGAAATCTCCCACATGTACAGTTGGCGCCAATTTGATTTCTCTTGTTCTAACACCTATAAATATAATTGATGGATCTATTCTGAATATGAGAAAACAGTACCAATTGAGTTCGCATCCTTGCCTTTGCTGTATTGACCGTTTTCGTTGGAGAGGGATCCTTCACCGGTGCATCCATCGCTGAAAACGGATAAGAAAAACTGCTTAATGAAAACGATATGAATGTGAGGATACGAAAAAGTGGGTGTGGTTGTTTCAAATATTTCTTGTAGGCGTGTTAGCTCTGAAACGTGAGAAAAAAAAGACGAGATATATATCATTACGGTTCAGTGACATTCGTGTGATTTGTTAGTTTTGGATAACAAACGTGACGTTTTGAGCGAATTCCTTCAAATCGGGAGAAAGAAAATATATATTAGGAATTAATGGAAAAAACATGTAACAAAAAACAAATTCATGAGAAAATGAGAATTTTGGCAGAGGATTTTTTTTCTAAAGTATTTTGGATCCTGATAGTCTGCTTCGTCTCGATTAGGTATGTTACAGTAAAAACGTTTCCAATTTATTTTTCGGAATTGGAGCTTATAAAGAAACGCAACAAGTTTCCTTGCGAGTTTCAAGCCGATTTCGACTGGAAATTTCAAAATGAGATTTTAAAACATTTTCTGACATTCCGAATTTCGAAAATTTCAGAATTGGAATATTCCGGGATTCCGAAATTCTAAAAAAATGCTCTCTTTTTCTAACACCCATAGTCTTTGAACATCCCTGGACCAACTTTCAAGCATCAATGGTGCAAACTAAAAAACGACTTCGAAAACAGACCAAGTGAAAGATGGGAATACTCGTCGGCAGTCTTGTAACTTTTTTCAGGATGCTTTAGCTTGTGAAAGATGTTTAGTAAGGGTTTTGTAAGAAGTTGCCTAACTACGGTAGTATATCGGAACATGACCAGTGTTTGCTCGGAAGTTGAAAATTCGAGCCTTGCTAGTTTGTCAAAAGTTGGTTCCAATGAGAAGTTGAGGTTTATTGTAAGAAGAGGTTTAAAATAAGTAAGAAAGCTGGTCTAAAAAAAAGCTAGATCTTGTTTCGCACTGCTCAATTAATTACATTCCTTCGACCTCAATATGTTCAATCTCGGGCCAAGATGTCCAGCATTTTGAAAATTTTCAGACCCTTCTAATTATTTCCTCTTACACTATTCCCTTCCCTTCTTTTTTTTCATTAATGGAGAACCACAACCACTTAATTTTTCTCAACGTTGAGATGGAAATCAGAAGCGTAGATGTGAGTACGTGAAAGGAAGAAAAATAATCACAAGATATTTGTTGTCGACTCTCTTATCAACCGAAGCGAAACGAGTACATTTTCAGAGTACAAAAACGAGAGAAGGCACGAGATAATCTATCTGCTTCGGTGGAATTCATCTGACTTCTTCTTCTCGAAATCGAATAACAACTGTGACGTCTTCGAAGATCTTGAAAGTGGAAATGAATAGGGATCGAAATGAACTCAAAAATATATATTTATGTAGTTTTGAAAAATAGGATGCAATTAACTGGTTGACAAATATGAACTGTGGGTTTCAAAAATACAAAAATGAGAATAAAATCAGCAGATATTAATTATTTAGGATATTGTTTCATCATTTCGATGGTGTGTTTCCTTATTTTGGAAATTTTGTAAAGTTCAGCAAGAGTGCCTTTGTCTTTGGCGGTGACGGCGTAGGTCCAGTGAGTGAACATATCCATTTTCTTGTTGTTTCTGTACTTCTAGTAAATAGTGAAACGAACCAACTCCGCTAAAATATACTCCCGTTTACTTTCTCAGACCCTGATGTTATTCTTACCAATGTATAATCTCATTTATCAGAAGTGGGACAAACACTTCGCTTTTAGCAGTTAAACTTTCCAATGCACTGGTACATATGTAGAAATGATAATCGCAGTCTATATCAGAGCTGATGATTGATGAAATGAAATGAGGGAAGGTGAGGATCAGAATGGATTTGAATGCAATTTGAAAGATCTGAAACAATTGATCTGGTGTTCACATTAAGTAACAAACATATTGACGATTGCTGAGTGAGGTGAAAAGTAAACTTACATTCAAAATTGGTTCCTCTTTTGGCCCCTCTAGTGATATTTCTGGTAGTACAGGGTTCATTGCCTGAAACACGAGTTATCGATTTTTTGTTAGGAGAGAAGTTGGAAAGCTCCAGTAAAGCTAGTGAATCCTGAAGAAAAATCTGGTGATAGTGCGGAGACTGGCGCGAGTAAACATCATCACGCTCGAATAATAATATGTTTCTGATAACTACTAGGAGAAAGTAAAAATTATCTCGGCTCTAAAAAACTTGGTTTCTGCTTGAAAGCTTCTGCTAATGATGGGGAGCACTGATTTGTAAGACAACGAGAAAAGGGGATGACGGGGATCTGAAAGTGTACCACGTCTACAGCAGTTCATAATATGAAAAAAGTATATGTTGACCAGAGTTGCCCACGACTGAGGATAAGGCGAAAGACCAATCTCCACCTGATGCTACCAAAGTGGAGTCACAAATCGAGAATCCAGAGGTATTACTTTCAGAATCAAATCAATTTAAAATATTGTCTGCACAGGTGTCTGATGCAGACGATCGCGCTTGGCGTCGGGCTCACATGATTGAGCTTTTTAGCGCAATATACTATCTAGTGCTCGTAGCTTTCATTCCAACCCACTTCTGGTTCTATGATAACATCATGGCCGCTGCGATAATCTCGGCACTCCATTTGCTGGTTACCGTCTCGATTATGAGTGAGAGGTATCGGATCTTTCAAGCCTTCTTCG